CAAAAAAAAAAAAAAGAAAAAAAAATATGAATATAGGAAATGATATAAGTTCTGCATAAGGAAAAATGGAAACTCAGGTAAGGGGAACCTAACACAATTCGGATGAGGGCATCGAGACAGCCTTTCCAGAGGAGGCAGAGCTTGAACTCAATGCTAAGGAACAGTAGGAGTTTATTAGGGTTATTGGGGTGGGCTTTGGTTCTTAAACACATTTATTCTTCTCTCTTTTTCTGTTTGGGAAGCCATGAACAAAAAGGATTAGTAACCATATGAGAAGTAAAATGCTGCTTTTCATAAGTACCCACTGCTCTGTTAAAGCTTGATTGGAGAACACTGCTTCGTCCCAAGGCTAAAGTAGCTTCCTATGTCTCCATATCTATATCTTGGTTATAACTGGCTCTATGGGGGCAGACTGTGAGTACACTTACCAAGCAGTTGCACTGGCAAGGCTAGCTGGGATTTCTTCATCTATCTAGTTACAGACAATCCAGGTCATGCTCGTAGATACACATGCAGTGCAATAACTATACCCACTAGTAAAATCTAAGCCCAACAAGTTGTATTATCAACAACTCTTCTCATGGGGAGGAGCTGGAATGTTGGTATAAAGAGAAAAGGTAAAATGGTAAGTGAGAAAGTTCTTTCCTTTCCCAAGGTAAAGGACAGAAACGTTTACCCTTTCCTTAACATTAACTAAGGCCAGGAACTGTGTCAGGTGAGGTGGTGATTATTATTCCCGTTTATGGAAAAATGAAATTTAGGAATTGAAATAACTTGCTAAGGTCACATAGCCAGGGAGTGGCAGAGCCATGATTTCATCCTAGATCACCTGTTTACCACTACCACTAGTGCTATGACAACTGCTGTCTACCACGTCAGCACTCAACAGTTCTGGTTATCTACCACTGCATAGCAAACCACCCTCTAGCTTAGGGGCTGAAATAACAAATTCTCTCCCACAATTCTGTGGGTTGACTGGGTTGCCTGGGAGGTTCTTAATTGGGATCTCTCATGTATTGCAGTCAGATGTTGTCTGGGGCTCAGTCATCTGAAGGTTCAACGGCCTGGACATTCCAGGATGACTCACATGGCTGGCATCTGATGCTGGCTCTTGGCTGGGAGCCTAGCTGGGACTGCCTATCATAAATGCCTACACATGGCTCATGTAGTTTTTGCTTCTCACAGCTTGGTGCCTGGGTTCCTAGAGGATGTATCCTGAGAACAAGCATTCCAAAAGGCACAAGTGACAGAAACTGCCAGGCTAGTTAACGACTACTCCCAGAACTGACACACTGTCATTTCCACTATATTCTATTGGTCAAAACAGTCACAGATTCAAGAGGATGGAGAAGTGAACTCTACTTGTCAAGGTCACATTACAGAAGAACATGTGGGATGAGATACGATATTGCAGTCATCTTTGGAAAAGGCAGTCTGCCACAGGGAGCATTAAACATAATGCCATTTGAGGAGAACCCTTAAGTAATTGATAAAGATGGAACCTATATTGTAATGAGAATGTGACAGGAAATGAGATTAAGGTTTATGAAAAAGACAAATGAAGAATAGTCTTTAATATGATGCTAATGAATTTGTATTTATGCTGAAGGCAATGGGGCAATATTAAAGGAGGTTTAAAATAAATTTATTGTTGTTTTAACATTACAAAAGAAATACATGCACAAGTAACAACTATGGGCACATCTGTTTCTGTAATTCCTTCACACTTCCCACTCTTTCCCCAAATCTCTACCACCTTTCTCCTCATTTTCATTCTCAGCTAATAGCTTACCTTCCTCTTTCAAAGAGAAAAGAGAAGCAATCAGAAGAGGATTTCCACATGTTTCTACCAAGAAGGCTACCCACCCAACTGCATCTTTGCACATCCTCCTCCTACCCTCCTGTTCCTCTTCATGTTCTGTCCTTAATCTTATCTAAAGTTAACCCCTCCACTTGTGCAGTAGATCCCATCTGCTCTCACCTACTCAAGGATATCACTCCAGCGATTGTCCTCAGTCTTTTCTGCACCATCTGTTTTTCCTGCTCCACTGGATCATTCCCAACAGCATACAAACATGCTGAATTTATTTTATCTAGAAAACAAATCACAAACCTCCTTTAGCCCCACATTTCCCTTTCTACTGTCATCCCTTTTGACTGCTCCATGTACAGCAAAACTCTTCAAAAGAGTAGTTTTCTATTTCTACTCTTTTCTGTTTCTTGTTTAATCTATCTGGCTTGTAACTGGATTAATTTTTAGGAAAACACAACCAACTTCAAGGAGCTTTGCATTTCCATAGTGGCCACTTGAAGCCCTTTATGATTTGTAGGGAACTATATACAGAAAAAGTGGTTTATGTTTTAATTAAATCTGAATTTCATTATCTTAAAGCTCAACCACCAAACAAAGAACAGGAAAGAAAATGTTCAGGAGACTTTTTTAAAAAGTAAGAAGAGTATTTGTGTAGAGCTTTAAGTGCATTTTAAAAAATGGAAACCTCACAACAACCCTCAGAAAAAAGTATTATTACCCCTTTCTACAGATGAAAAAACTGAGACTCAGAGGGGTTCTAAATGGCTTTCTCAAGGCTACAGAGGTGGTGAGTGACAGATCTGGAATTTGAATCCAAGCATTCTGGCGTCAAATCCCACACTCATAGCCTTTACTTCTTTCCATCTATTAAGCTTATGTTTGCTTCTCATTTTTTTTCGTGTAGAGAATAGAACTTCAGTTTATTGAGCGTCTGTGACATTTGCTTGTCTAGGGATAGAAATGGGCTGTATTTGCCCAGCACAAGCCTGATTGTCTCATTCACTCTTGAACTCACTCCAATTAGAAGTTTTGCCTCTAATCAACTAAAACTGCTCTTGTCGAGGTCACCAGTGCCTTCCAGTTTGCTAAATCCAAAGTCAATTCTCAGGCCTTAACTTACTTAGCAGCATTGCCACAATTGATCACCCTCGTCCTTGAAACCCTTTGCTCCCTTGGCTTCTGGGACACCACATGCTCTTGGTTTTCTTCATACCTAGTGGTACTCCTCATTCTCTTCATCTTCCTGATTTCTAAAAACTTGTAGTGCCCCAGTGCTCAGTCCTCTGATTTTTCTTCTATAAATGCACTCACTACTTAGGTGATCTTTTCTGGTCATATGGTATTAAATACCTTAGTACATTGACAACACACAAATTTACATCTCCATCCTGGACCTCTTTTGAGTTACTTTGAGTCTTCATTTATAGGCTGGTTTCTCTCCCCAAACCCCTTTGGCTATTAATTCATATATTAATAAATCAAACATTTTTTTAACTTGTTAAATGCTAAAAAATGTTTTGATAAAATTCAATTTGTGTCCCTTATTTTAAAACAAAGAATACTCCTATTTATCTCAAACTGGCATAATACTTAATGATGAAACATCAGAGGCATTCCCATTCCTGGGGAAAAAATGTGCCTGCTGCCAACATTGAAATTTAATAATGTTTTGAAAGTTGTAGTCAAGCAATAAAATATGAAACAGAAATAAGAGTTAGAGCTATTAGGATGACAAAGTTATTATAATTTTTCAGATTTTATAATTTGATATCTGGAACTTTCCAGAGTATCAGTTGAAAAACTAGTATATTAGTAAAGAATTAGAAAATGGGTGGATACAATAATGGAAGAAATGTTTATTTTTAAAAAAAAGCACCAGCAATAACTAGTTAGAAAATAGGGGTTTTAAATGATCACACCCACAATTCCGGTCCAAATCATAAAATATCTGACAATATCCTTGATAAGAAATGTTCAGGACCTATCT